GCAAGGTATTGTTTGAAGGGAGAATTGTGAAAAATAAAGACTGAAAAACTAATCATTTCTGTTAGAAATAAGAAAATACAGGAAAATCAATTCTGTGGGAATTAGCACAAAAACAAGCTGATTAATGGATCATCAGCTACATGATATGACTTAATGTGAAGGCATAGATTATACAGGACAAAGATTCATTTTCTGGATCTTGTAGACTTAGCATACCTCATAGCCTAACTATGATAGTAGGGAATCAGCTTAACAGCACATATGTAGAACGTACGGGTGGGCGATATGGCCCTAAAATAAATATCAGGATATTTATGCGATAATGATATTCTTCACAATATGACAAATACTGAAAAAATACAAACTTCAGTACAGAATATGTCAGGAACACAGAAAAGCACATCAAGTTGGCAACCATATGTTTGCTACACAACAGGACAGGTAGTAATCTATTGTTTCTCAGCTTCAGCACGTAGCCTATTCATGTAGAGTTCAGCACTGCAGAGCAGATACAGGACAGGAAGTGTAATTATCTGCTTCTACTAGGAGACCGGACAAGATACCAGACAGCCTGACTGGCAACGAGTGGGGGGCGGGGGTGGGTGTGGGGGCTAGAGAGAGAGATAGCAATGAAGACTGAATTAAAAAAAGATCGAAGCAAAGCGCAAGAGAGGAGTGGGGAAAGTGGAGAGGGAATCTCACGCCTCACATCTCATCGTGCAGGAGGAAAGTCAAACTTAGTTGAAATCAGCAGGGCGATTTTTCACATCCTCCTCCCTCTTGCTTTTCTTTGCTTGACAGCTCCTCGGAGATACAGCTGTTTGACACAGACTTTGTGAGAGAGCAGGCAAGAACAAGGGAGAAGAGAAATTAGGAGAATGTGTGAGAGACAGCAATGGAGGGGAGGGGAGACGGCGGGTCAAAAGACAAGAGAGTGATGGATTGAGATAGCCCAGAGAATGGAGACAGAGAGAGATTGTCATCATCATCTTGAACAATGACTCTCTGATAGAGGAGGCCTGTCGCTGGATTTTCAACCCAGCTGAGGAAGAAGAGAGGAGGGGGGGTGGTCCACCCGCCTGCCCACCTGCCAGGGCCTCAGTCATGCTTTTAGCATCTGCCAAACTGAAGGACGCTTGGTGCCATGTGCTTTTCACTGAAGGAGCCTGACGTTTGTCACTCACACTGAGGGCTTCTGTTCTTTTTCGGCCTCAGACAATCAGGGTTTAATGTCCCCCCCAATAAACACACACACACACACACACACACACACACATACCATGTAAACAATCCCAGTGTGTGTGAGAAGTGAGCGAGACCTCGACTCTGAAAGCGCCACATCCACTGCAGCTGTGGGCTGGCCAACAGCTGAAGCCGGGCCGTGGGTCTCTGTTCTCTTTTTCTGCTTCCTTCCCCACCAACCCCGCCCCCTCTCCTTCTATGTTTCCATGAAACAGACCTGTAATTTTCACAGCTGTGTCTCGGGCATTGTGCCAGGGTGAGTCAGGGAAAGAGAGAATGAGAGAGGGAGAGAGAGAGGGGGCAGGCTAATGGCTTTTAGAGGAGCAGGCTACAGAACAGCCTTGCTAATCCAGAGACACTCAAGACTCAAACCAAAGAAATAGTCAAACAACTGCGAAACTCATTAGCTTTATAAAACATACAAGTTCATAGTTCTGCAAATGATATGGTAGCCACAAAGCATAATTCAGATTTACAACTTTTAACTTACTTTCATAGGCCATCATATCTACTGGTCAGGACAGTATTGTACACAAAGTGGCTGCTGAAATCTGGGAACACACCAACATCACCAGAACCCAGTCAACTAAACTAAAAAGTACACTTCCTTTCTAAACACTTCTAACGCAAGTGTACCCAAAATTACAGTAATAACCCCAAATTGCAGGAAATGTGTTTTCACGCACAACAAATAAATACAGTAGGTCAAAGTCTAACCCAGAAGTCAGTCGAAAAAAACAGTGATGCATGTTTGCAACGGACAGCTTGGGTCATCCTTTTTCTGGTTGCCTTAGTTTTCTCTTCCAAACAAGACCTCTAGGTTTGTATTGTCTGACCGTTGGAATGCCTTGCCCTGTAGGACTTCTTTTTTTAGCAGTGTTGCCATATTCGCAGATCTCCCTCAAGGCTGGATTACTTACAGGGAATATCAGACTTCTGGCCTATACGGCTCCATAACACTTCAAGGTTAGGGGTTAAAGCTTCAAATGGTTTGGGCTAATTTTAATTAATATATCTAAAGAAAAATGCATTATTAACAAAATAAATGACATGATAAAGGACAAAGGCGTTTAGTGTCAAACGTGACGGGAACACTGCAGTAAAAAAAAAAAAATTAAGTACATTTTAGCATATTAACATAACTGTAAAAAACTATTAAGATTAAGAGTTTTATTTAGCCCTGAGTAGTGAAAAAAGTTAGCAAAAGTTAGAAGTGTAAATTCCGCCCTGACTTTCGTTATTTTAGTTTTGAGTGTTGCGTATTCCTACATGAATGTGGGAGGAATGGGGGTTTGTTAGAGGCCCAACAGTTTGCTTCTGGGCCTCCTCGTAGGTTAATCCAGCCACAGTCTCAGCAAATAGCTTGGTGAGCACGATGTTATTATTACCAATGGGAATGATGTCATTTACTATGGTTGACTGAAATGACAGCCACTGACAGAAACAGGTTAAAAAAATATTTTGTTTAAAAAGATTATATACTGAATGAATCTGGCCAAAAAAAAAATCAAGCCCAGTGAGCTGTCTGATTTCCGGTAAGATAAGTTTTAACATCACAATGCAACTTCATGAACAATAAAGCCATTCATACTGGCATGGATGTTGTCTTCACTTTCAGAAAAAACTAATACTAATACTTCTGTATTAAATAGCTTATAATTGTATGCATTTAACTGGCCAGATGAAACACGCAACAATATAAATGATAAACCATCATTAACTCTTTTTACTTCCATCGCTAACACCAATTAAATTCTATTCTCGTCTCTCCTAGAAATGTTCTTCTGAGCAGGAAGTATCTGTCTCCTTCGGGACAGCAGGGAGGACAGTGTGTTTGGGTGACAGGAGGCACATTCCCCTCCTCCTCCTCCTCCTCCTCCTCCTCCTCCTCTCTATGGCCACAACAGGACACTTCTCCAGAAATAATGGGATTATGTCCAGGATTGATGTCCAGCTTTATGGCTCACGTGTGGGCAGCACACCTCTATTCAACATGCTGCTATGACAGGCCTGTCAAAGTAGGCTGCCGAGAACTGACTAGACACAAATCTACCACGACCTCCAGAACTGAAGCTCTATTGTCAGGATGTTTCTGTCCACAAGAGGCTTTACAAACACTATTATACTGAAGAACACACTAGGCAACTTGTATGTCATGCATTATAACCCTGCTGTCACGTCAAAGCCTGTACTTTTCAATGGCCTTCTACAGCAGGAGATGATCTGCTTTTCACACATAAGATGGTTTTTAAATCAAACAGGGCTGCAACTCACTAGTGATTAATCTGATGATTATTTCCCCGCTTAAACATTTAATCATGTAATCTAAAAAATGTGAAAATATCCATAACGTTCCCAAATTCCAAGATGAAGTCTTCAAATTGCTTGTTTTGTCCAACCAACACAGGTGGAAGAAGTATTCAGATCCTTTACTTATGTAAAAGTCCCCAAAACCCATCTGAAAATACACTGTCAAACGTAAAAAGTACAGAAGTTTTGTTGAAACTGATCTCTCTGGCACATCTTCCAGCTGCATCAGGTGCTTCGCCATTCGAGGGCAGCAAACATCCAAGAGAAAAGAGGGACTGAGAGACATGATTTTCAGTGTAAAACTGTTGAAATGAAAGAGCGTTTCCAGCAGAGGGGATTTCCCTCAGAATATAGCTCCTGGTACAGATACAGGGAATTCCTGAAAACACGAGCCACCACTACTTCCTCATACATCTCTGAATATTCTCTTCAGGCAGGCAGGAACCAAAACATTTTACCTTTAAACACTGGAATGTCCTCAAAAGTGATTAATCTCTAACGAACATCAGCTCTGCGCCTCCCTTGATCACATTCAAGTGTTGCATGAAGGACTGGTTAATTCTGACTCTAGAAACACTGTCTCCTGGCCCTTGGAAGTATTACAGTGATACAAAAGTATCATAGCTCTGCAAAATGTACTTCAAGTAGGCTTTCAAGAGTACTCATTATCCAAGCAGAATGGCCCATGGCAGCTTTATATTATTATACATATATATTCCTATTACTGAAATATTAACATATAGCCTACAGTAAGGACCAGTTCATAGTTATATCTGGTTTCCAGGGAGCTAATCTGAACTACTTTATATCTGGGTAGTTAAAGTTAGGCTCCTGTGTGTAATTTGCAGTAGGCTATGGCTCATTATAGGTTTTCCACATCTTAATCGGCAAAGTAATTACAGCTGTCAAAAGGCAGACAATATTTTCCTCTGAGAAGTGGTGCAGTATTAAGTAGCATAAAATGGAACCACTAGAGTAAAGCACAAGTACTTTAGTAAAGTACTTGAGTAAATGAACAGTCCAACTGTAAAAATATATTTTATCATAGAAAACCAGCAAATATTCCCTTTTGAGAACCTGGAAGCAGTTAAGTTTTGGCATTTTTTTTTTTTTAAATGTCGTAAACAATGACTCGATCATCCCAAATCATCCCTGATAGATTAATGGACTCTAGATCCAAAACCAGGAAAATACCAGCAGGAGCTTTAAGTGTCTCTATCAGCTGTTCGCTATGTTTTCCTGGTGGTATTAACAGGCTAAAACTTACTGCTGTTATTCTTGCACAACACATCTTTAATACCCTTAGCTGTGTCAGTAAACCAAAAAACACAAACCCCCGCAGCAGGGACAGAGTCGAGCCTCAAACTTGACTCGAACAGAAGCTGCCTGTGTGTGACATTTTCCTCACGATCACGAGCTGGAGTCTCAGCCCGAGGCTTTCTACTCACCGTGAAAAGAAAGACGCCCGTGCCACCTGCACGGGAGAAGGAAGAAGTAACACGAGCTCTCCGCAAAAGTTTCACCACCGAAAAGGAAGGATCTGTTAATCGCTCCTACAGCTGACACATTATCCCAACCCCCGAGCCGTCTCGTCGCTCGGTCTTGTCCTGCCTCGCACTTTCAGTTTTGCCCAAGCCACGATAAGAGTTAAAAGGCAGCTGAGTCTTACCGTTTTGCAGTGGGAAAAAAAATAACTGGAACACAACTCTGCAGACGATTTTAAAAAGGGATCTCACTTCCACAGGGCGAGAGAGTGATGCGTCAGGTGTACGCTTCCCGCAACTGAAGAAGGAAAACAGAGCGGAGGGCGACTCATGTTGAGCTGATCGGTTGAAACGTTTGCATTCTTACTCTTTTTTGTTTTACTCCAAACTGCGCCGCTCTGCGTGAAAATCCTCGGTACACTTTAAACTACAGCAGTCGTTCAAAGGACGAAGTGAGGCGTGCGAAGCATTCAGCAAGCTCCTGCAAACTACGGCTCACTTCAGCGTGTTTTTACATAACAGCATCATCCGCTTTTTTATGTTGACGCATCATGTAGCGAAAACATGGAGTTTCTTAAAGGGCCACGGACGCGCCGTCCACATGTCACCGTCCCCCCATCAGCCCCGCTGTGTCTGACAGATGGCTTTCACCCAGTTAATGTCTTTAAGCCCTGTTCTTTTGACACTTGTATTAACCCCGGCAGAAGTGGCTGAAAGAGCTTCTCATCACTGAATGAAGGATCGGTGACTTGTCAGCTCTTGACCAGAACCTGCTCTGACATGTGACCACATGGTGCCTCCGGGAGCACTGGTGTAGGGGAGTTTGTCTCTATGCATGTGACGTTGGATTTTTTATTTACTGTAGGGCAGCCTGAGATTGGCACATTATGGGGCTTCAATGTGCAGAAATGGGTCCTTAAATGTTGGTTGTCATTATTAAACTTTCTTGTAGGCTACTGCTTTCCCTGCAGTTTAGTTCACTAAGCTAAAATAAAAAAAAATAGCAAAATAATGGCGTACATGAGTGTATTTAATACGTTATTAAGGGAAATTATAAATTGTCTCTGTATGTGAACTGGAGACCACTGCAGCAACATCATCTGATGGACACATTTAAATGACTCAAAACCACTCGAATCTGGGACAGGTATTGCTGTATAACACATGTTTGCATAAATCAACATTTAGTCTGCAGAAACTATTGCAACTTCCAATTACCCTTTTGCTGGATACAATGCATGCTTTACATGGATATGAATCATACTGGTGCCACTTTCTAATAAGTTGACTCTTAAAAAGGGGTTATACATGGAAACTAATTGTTTTATTAATGTTAATAAATCATTTTACAATGCTTTATAGATCAGTTGTGAAATTTATTGCCAGGTTGGGGGGAAATCCTTCTGTCCTGTGTTTATCCTTTACATTTGGTAATAATACTGTGATAAATGTTGCTAATCTATTAATGTGGATTTCTCACTTTGCAACAAGCCATCAAGTCTGCATTTTCAATTTGTAAAATGTAAAATAAGTTATTAATAAATGGAGATTGATCCAAGTAAGTGGTCCAACACTCAGACAGATTTATACAAGAGAGGACAAATGTTCTTAATAATGTCTAAAAAAGGATTTCTGAAGCTTTAGGCAAGGCAAGCAAGTTTATTTGTTACATATTTCAACAACAAGGCAATTCAAAGTGCTTGACATAAAACATAAAGCAACAATATAAAAAGACCTTTAAATACAATTAAAATTGAGTTAAATAGAAATGAAACATGATAAATCAGGAGAGTAAATGTTACAGTGCAGTGTAAGGTATTAACCACAAGCCTCAAATTTGATTTAATAAAAGGCAAAAAAAGAAGGAACGTTGCAGCAGACCTGCTGTTGAGTTTTGACTCCAGGGACAGATAGCAGACCTGTCCAAGAGGACATGAGAGGTCTGGATGGTTCACAATGTAGCAGAAGATCAGAAATGTATTTTGGCTCTAAACTATTCAATGCTTTATAATCCAACAGTAATATTTTTAAATAAATTATCTGAGATACAGGAAGCCAGAAGTAAAGACCTCAGAACTGGATTGATGTGATACACTTTTTTTGGTCTCAGTGTGGACTCAAGCAGAAGCATTCTGAATCAGCTGCAGCTGTATCATCAATTTGTAAAGACAACATTACAGTAGTCAAGTTGACTGACAAATGCATGGACATGTTTTCTCAAATCCTGCTGAGACATAGCCTAAGTTCTTTAAATGTTGGTGTTGTAACAGAAGTAGATGCAAATAGATGTTTAACAGGAGAGGACCCAGACTGGAGCCTTGGGGAACCCTACAAGTCATTTTTGTCAGCTCAGATGTGTAATACCATTAGACACAAAATAGTTGCTGTCTTTTAAGTAGGATTCAGAGTCCCACCTAGTTGTCCAGTTGGTTGAGTAAGATGTTGGGGTCGACCGGGCTGAATGCATCACCGAGATCCAATAATGCTAATCGTGAGATTTTGCCACTGTCTGTGTTTAAATGGATAGTTCTAAAAACCTTAGTAAATTACTTATTAACCATTAATAAAGCCATTGAGGTTAGAATGTATAAACCCATTATAAAGGATGTATTTTTAGAATTAAGTAGGCTAATTATAATTATGTAATTATAATTACATAATAATCTATTAATGGTCAGTCTTTCCAATGACCCATTATTATGCATTAGTAATAACTTGTGAATCCATATTTCCACAATGTATAGCTTTGTTTAGTGTATATCCTGCTGATCTTATTTTAAGCTGTTTCTGTTTTAATCACAAATGTCTGCTCCCAATGGCATTTTAGGACTCTCTGTATTTGTAAAAGAAGGTTACATACCATCCAACAAACATTTATCAATTACTCACTTACATGAACTTCACTTGACAATGAGGCATTCGGTTTGCACCTCTCCCTTGAAGGGAGGAGTCCTTCCTGCTTAATAAGAGAAAGAGCCACACAGCTAAAAAGACAAAGTATGCTTCACTGACAGAAGTTACGCAGCAACTTCCTTCTCAAAGACGTAGTCTCACAACGTGCATGCATTCTAATCACTTCTGATTTGCAAAGGATTTAATCATTGATTAACACTTTAGAAAGTAGTGACAACTTATAAACCCTTTATTAGCATGCATTACTATAAAATTAGACCTAATCTGATATTACACCAGGGCTACTGTATATTTAGAAAATAACAACACAAATGTATGTTATGTCAGCAAAACAATACACAATAATGGTTTATATACTACTATAGTAGAAGATTCTGATAAGACATTTTATATAACAAAAAATATGATTAATTCTCTATAAAGTGACTGCCATGGGTCGCAGATGCACAGTCATCTCTGAAGTAAACTATCATCCTTCATCTTGTCATTGTGATTTGATAGGAGAATGGGCCACCGGTCATTCCAGGGCAGGAAAGTGGTAGAAATAGCAACAAGAGTTTGGCCTTCTTGCACTGTGTTGTACAAATTAAAGAGGACAGGAGCCTGGAAATTTGAGTATACAGGAAACCCACACACAGAGACCAATATTTACTCTTTGATTCTCACCATCCTCTGGTGCATAAGCTATGTGTAATCAAAACCCTGCACCACCAAGCTGACAACATACCAACAAATGGTCTGTATTTGTATAGCGCCTTTCTAGTCTTTCTGACTAAATCACATTCACCCCATGCACGCACATTCATACACTGATGAGCAGATGCTAAGGTGTTTGGCAACTGCTCACCAGAAACAGAAATAAACTTTATTATACATAAAAATACAGGAGCAATTTGGAAGAATCAGGAGGATTGTAATCCAAGGACACATCGACACACAGACTGGGGGAGCTGGGGATCAAACCATGAATCTTGCGATATGTGGACAACCGCTCTACCACCTGAGCCACAGCTGCTCCCACAACAAGAGTCAAAGCCAAAGAGAATGAGCACCTGAAGGATGCACTTAAAGCTTGTGAATATCTAAACTGGAACTTTATGAAAACAGCCATAAGATCCAGGAAGAACACCTACACTACGGGAAAAAGAAGAGAAACGTAATAATATCGCAATTCCATATGTGTTTGGAGTATCAGGGTTTTCAACAAACACCACATCCCTGTGTTTTTTAAACCCAAGAACGTGCTAAGATAAATACTGGCCCACCCAAAAGACCGCACACCCAAACACAAGAAAAGCAATGTAGTGTATGCTGTCCAAAGCGTGGAATGCACAGACCTGTATATTGGGGAAACTAAACAACCACTACAACACTCAGGCCAACACCCAACACTCAGCCTCAGCACTTGACTTTTACATTTGAAGGATAAGGGACACTGTTAAGGTTCTCAGTCATCCAGATCATAGTTATCCAAAGAAGGTTAAAATCAAGGGCAACTAGACTTGGTTGAAGATGAGGGACACTCTTCTGATGACAACCATGTACTAGTTTGGACAGGGAGGACAGATGGTTGAGTGAAAGAGGCCATTTACACCAGAATAGAGAGACCATCGCTGAACCAGACCGGAGGGCTAAGAAGACACCACTTATCCCCCACCTACAGTCCTTTCATCTCTTCCCTGGAGGGGGAACAGACATTCCCATTTGGCCACATCTGACAATGCCCACAACAGTCGTTCAGACTTGGCCTCACGTGACTCCAAAGACCATAACACCTGTCGTTAATGCAGCCAGGAGCACTAACAAACCAAGTGGTATCCATCACCTTGAAAATGACCCCACAGAGGTTAAATAGCTGGGATTCCCTACCAATCAGTCAGAATTAAAGAAGCCCCTTGGACAAGAGGCGAAACGCCTTCAAGTATCTTCAAACAAGTCCAGTTGCATCGCATTACATATTCATGGATGGGATATTTGTTTTGAATTCTCTTTCATGTTATCGTTTACACTCATGTATCATGGACTTTTCAGAGGATACATTCTTACAAGATAAAGTTCAAATGTAATTTTTAACTAACAGTGTCCCATTCTAGTCCCAGTGATAGAGATACTAAGGTTTGAACCTGACTTGTTTCCTGTAAAGTTGAAATCCACCCTGAAAACAGAAATCCCATGTGTTATTCAAAGCTCTGGCATATTTCAATCACTGTGTGAACTACTGTCTATGTTCAGCGGGTACAGAGGGAGTATAGAAACGTGTATGTTTTCTTTACAATGTTCCTTTTTATCAGAGGATACATCTGAACCATAAATGCACCTATATGTCAGGGCAAGCAGTCATCTCTGATCACAGTCAAAAGAGCAAACAGAGTGTCTTTTACTTTTCTGCAGTGAGCTGAGAAGCATCTTCTCTTTCAGGGTTAAGAAATGAAACAACCCTGTTGATCTTTCAGCTCAGTGCTGAGTGGTTTTATCACACACAGCGGCACAATATTGAGCAGTGTCAAAGTCCAACCAGACAATCTTCTGCACATCAATCAGCCTGAGTCCCAGCAGCTGACAAAGATGAAATGACAGTGGATGGATTGGAGGCAATAAGCTGATGATCTGTCATCCCAGCAGCTGATGGACAGAGACGT